CAGGACGTTCTGAGGGACACATGGACAAACATCTCACTGGCCATCACTGACGAGGATGTTTTACTGTCAGAACCAGAACCAGAACCAAAGACCAGAGCTGAGTTCTTAAAATATTCACGAGAAATCACTCTGGATCCAAACACAGCAAACCAATATCTGTTCTTATCAGAGGGAAACACAAAGGTAACATTAATGAAACAACGTCAGTCTTATCCTGATCATCCAGACAGATTCATTACACGTTTTCAGGTTCTGAGTAAAGAGAGTCTGACTGGACGTTGTTACTGGGAGGTGAAGTGGAATGGAAGAGGAGGAGGAGTTGATGTAGCAGTCGCGTACAAGAATATCAGCAGAGTAGGGCATTCAAATGAATGTGGATTTGGATTCAATGACAAATCTCAGGCTGTACGTTGTAACGTAGACAAACATGCATTTTTTAACAACACTCAAACTTCCGTCTCAGTTCGTCGGACCACCACAGTAGGAGTCTACCTGGACCACAGAGCAGGTGTTCTGTCTTTCTACTACGTCTCTAAAACCATGACTCTCCTCCACAGAGTCCAGACCACGTTCACTCAGCCGCTACATGCAGGATTTTGTCTTTGGAATATTGACGACACTGCTGAGTTCATTAAACTCAATCAGAGTAGTTGCAGTGTGTGAGGGTCGGTTGGTGTTCAGCTTTGATTTAGGTCCATGATCTGTAGTTCACTTCTAGTTTTCTGAAGGAACTTTGACAGTTTAGTAGATGAGACATACATTGCATTTCTTTTGGAAGAATGCTTCCTTTGTGACTTTTCAGTGATGAAAACTACTTAAGATGTGTGTTCAGTAACATAACATGAGTTAGTATGACAGAGAAAGGTGCCTGAAAGTAATACTGCAGTCATTAAATCTGTAAATACATCTACATATTTTACATCAATAACTATCTGACTTTTTTCTTGTAGCTGAGAATCACAGACGGTCCAATGTTACAACTTTTCATGCTCAGCGTGTTTTAAATGTTTGATCATTCTGATGAATAGTTGTATTCTATAGTTGCTGTAAAGGGTTTTCTGGAAGACTGGAATTGAATCAAATGTAGAAACACATTGGAGCTGCAGCGATCAGTCAGTGAGGTGATGAGAGAACAGACTGATCTGTAACTTTCTTTGTTGTTTATGAAGCTGCTTTCAGCCTCTGAAACATGATTTTTTTTTCATATGTGACAATAACTTCAATATCTTTGGGTTTTAGATTTTAAATATTCAAATATAAAAATGAATTTGAATTCTTTAACTGGGAAATATTAGAATGAGCATTTCATTTTGTTTTTACTATTTTCTGATATTTATAATTACAATGATTGTCCAATTGTACAAATAAGCTCTATTTAAAAACATGAATAAAGCTATAAACTTTGAGAATGCTTCAAAATTGTTAAGGTTTTATTTGGATTAAAAAGTGAGAATGTTTGGTGATACTTGAAAATATCTGCCACAAACAGATTTTTTGTCCCTCCAAGACACTCTGCTGTTACAGTCATTGAACTGGTACAAAACTCAGAAGTCTACTTGTCTGTTCATTTACAATCAGCACTTTGGGTCCTCCAGCTGTTTATTCCACAAATACGTCACACTAACGTTTCCTCATACTGGTTGTACGATTGTCAAAAAACTGCACAATCTGTTTGTTTTTCAGCTACACATAATATTCTGCATTTTGAAATCCTAACCTAACTGTTGTTAGCCTAATGGGTCTCTTTAACTCTATATTATATTTCTTACATCTTTGTCCATATGATTTTGAATGTGCAATACCTCCAATATGTTTGTAGTTAAAAACATGGTTCCAAAGCTGTGTTACCCTCTCAGCTCCATGGCGTATAGTGTTGTAAACGACACTACTGTGTTGGCTCGTTCTGTGCTGGTAACAAGCAGTCTGGGCCGCTGTCAAGACAGACAGCATGGGAGGCAGTAAACCTTGTGAACCGGATCCATTTATTTGTCGAGACACGGTGAAAGAGAATACAGCAGGAGTACAGAGCGGGACGTACATACAACGCACTTCTCTTTATTTTCTACTACTCTGTTACCGATAAGCCACCGTGCTTCAAAGTGCAGGCTCAGGTCGGAAACAGCTGCAGTATTAGGCATATTGATGTGATGCTTAAAACAGATTAGATTACTTAACAAGAGAGTGCTGTGGCAGTCATTTGTGGTCTTTGAAGGCCTTTGCGTGACACTTCAACTTAACAGCAGCATGGTCTATATGAAAACAAATCCTGGATATGATGAAACATGTCTGCTATCTGGTGGTGGCTGGTGCTCAGTTGGTCACGTGAACAGTGCTCCAATTGTGAAGTTACAGGTTCGACAACAGGTTCCTTACGTACATGTGCTGAGCTGTTGGAGCAATTTCCACCCACCTGCCGCAGCTGCCAGCAATCACGGTTGCAATTTCTCCATGAATTGCACATTTAAGTTTTTTTTTCTATGTTCTTCTGTACGCTTGAATATGCTTGCAGATAGAAACATTGTTCCAAAGCTGCAATCTTAATAATACTGATGTGATGTGATATGCTTTTCATTCTGGTGCCAAAATCTGTGATGTGTGATTTTATACATTTCCTTTTTTGAATGTTGGTCTATGGAAATTTGCAACACATCCAAAATAATGAATAATATCTCAAAACCAATACACAGCTTTTTTTTTTTTGGCTAATATCTCTGCAACCATTAGGTGAAGAAGAACAATGGTGTCTACAGATTCAGTGGATGGTGTTGGAATGACTGACAGAGGTCCCCCCGTTTGCATTGGAATCATGTTGGCACCATTTAGAACTTTTCAACCTTAACTTAAACATACTTTACATAAATATCATTTGGAGGGTGTGACACTCCAGGACATTCATCTGAAGGTCAAAGTTACTTGTCACTCCTCACAATATTCTTGTAAGGTCAAAAATATCACACCAGTTTAATTATTTTCGGATATTCCTTCCTTTTTCTTTTTTCTGTTTCCTTTTTACTGAAAGGTCCCATCCATCGAAGACTTTCCTCACTTTAGAAATTCAGTATATTCTGTTGCAAAGACTCAGCTACATTCAAGTTGAGATTTGATTGCAGCCTTTTGACGAAACCTAATCATGGTAGTAGTTTTGCCTTTACTGACAGCTAGCAAATGATCTCACTATACTGCAGGTAAGACACGTGAGGATCATACTGCACAAGGCCTATAAAGAGTAAAGATTTTACTCCATTCTTCTTTGCAAAACTACACAAGCTCTGTCTCTTCATCCTAGTGTGTTGGATGGACACAATGGCTGAACAGGCCTTTCCAAGGCCAGGCACTAAACCTCATGGGTTTGGTTGAGGTCTGGACTCTGACTGGGCCTCCAGAACATTCCCCTTGTTGTCTTTAAACCATTTCTGTGGAGCTTTGGCTGTTTGCTTTGGCTTGTTGTCTTGATGGAAAACAAGTCTTCTCCAAGTCTCAGTACAGGTTGTCCTCCAGGATTTCTCTACACTTTGCTGCATTCATTTACCCTCTACCTTTACAAGCCTTCCAGGGCTGCTGCTGAGAAACATTCCCACATCATGATGCTGCCACCACCGTGCTTCATTTTGGAGATGGTGTGTTTGTGATTATGGGAAGTGTTTTGGGCTTGACTTATCAAGGACTTTCAATAACGTTTTCGTTGACTTGCTTGAAGCATTCCTTTGTCTTCATGGTATCGCAACATCAATGAGCCCTGATTAATTGACATTTCTTTGTGAAAATCTGTTTGCACTGAAATGAAAAACTAAAGTGATCATGATTCAAGGATAAAAAGCAATAAAAGTTGTATATATTCTTGGAGGTGAACACTTTTTATGGGCACTGTATGTAAACTCAAACTTCCAGTGTGAATGTGTACAAATGGCTGCACACTCCTAAACTTCAAACTGTGAATGTGTCCAAACGTCAAATGACTCTGTTTTCCTGA